AAAGTGCCAATCAGGAACTGGGATTGGCCTTGGCAATGGATGAAGTTGACTATCTTGCCAAAGCCTTCACGTCTGACACTAGTACAGCAGGTACCACAAGGCGTAGTCCAACAGACGTAGAGCTCTTTATGTTCGCTCAAGTCAACTCTGAACATTGTCGACATAAAATTTTCAACGCCAATTGGACCTTGGATGATGTTTCCCAAGACCAAACACTCTTTGGGATGATAAGGAATACTCATACCAAGCAACCTGCGCATACTCTTTCTGCCTATCACGACAATGCTGCAGTTGTAGAAGGTCCCATTGCACCTCGCTTCGCCCTCTTTCGTGATAGACTAGATGAACCTCTACATTCTCAATCGTATTCATCTCGACTTCAATCCATGCCTTATCTTATCAAGGTCGAAACCCATAATCATCCCACTGCGGTCTCGCCCTTCGAAGGTGCAGCAACTGGCTCCGGTGGTGAGATCAGAGACGAAGGTGCTGTCGGTAGAGGTTCTAAGCCGAAGGCTGGTCTAGCCGGATTTTCTGTCTCTAATCTCCGTATCCCTGGTCACATCCAACCTTGGGAAACAGAAGACTTTGGTAGACCTGGTCATATCGCTAGTAGTATTGATATCATGTTAGAGGCTCCTCTTGGCTCAAGCGCTTATAACAATGAATTTGGTCGACCTGGTCTCTGTGGCTATTTTCGTACATTCTCTCAACGTGTTCCGGCCCTCACTATACCCAACGCCTTATCAGCTACTAAATCAACTGAGGTACGAGGGTTTCACAAACCTATCATGATTGCCGGCGGCTTGGGAAACGTTCGGCCTGAATTCATTCAAAAGCGGAAGTTGAAGCCAAACTCCAAAATCATAGTCTTGGGTGGACCTGGCATGCTCATCGGCTTAGGAGGAGGCGCGGCTTCTTCCATCCAATCTGGTTCTAGCTCTGTTGAGCTTGACTTTGCTTCTGTTCAGCGGGAGAATGCTGAAGTTGAGCGTCGATGTCAAGAGGTGATCGATTCTTGCGTCAACTTACCCTCGGATCTCAACCCAATTGATAGCATTCACGATGTTGGTGCTGGTGGCTTGAGCAATGCGCTTCCTGAGTTGGTACACGATAGTGGTTTAGGTGGCAAGTTTGAGATCCGTGATATTCATGTCGACGATGAAACGATGAGTCCTATGGAGATTTGGTGCAATGAAAGTCAAGAACGTTATGTGATTGGTCTTTCACCCGATGAAAATGCTTTGAAGACTTTTGAATCAATTGCTAAGCGAGAACGATGCCCATACTCAGTAGTTGGTATCACTACTGAGACTCAAGAGCTAATTGTTACCGATAGATTGTTCAGCAATACTCCAGTTCATCTCAGTATGCACACTCTGTTTGGAAAACCGCCGAAAATCAATCGCTCTTCCAAGACAGATCGTCCGTTACTATCCCCTCTCGAATTCACTGCCCATCTTCGACCTGGTGCGACTGTCACTGACGCCATTGAAGAGAGTTTGAATCGAGTCTTGAGGCTGCCGTCCGTTGGTAGCAAAAGCTTTTTGATTACTATCGGAGATCGAAGTGTAACTGGCTTGGTGACGCGAGATCAGATGGTCGGACCCTATCAAGTTCCTGTTGCCGATGTAGCCGTCACTCGTACCGCCTACGGCTTTGATGTAGTTACGGGCGAGGCAATGGCCATGGGAGAGCGCTCACCCTTAAGTTTGATATCAGCTTCCAGCTCAGCTCGAATGGCAGTAACAGAATCGTTAACAAACCTGATTGCATCTGATATCGTCTCACTCGAACATGTCAAACTAAGTGCGAACTGGATGTGTTCAGCAAACCATGGTAATGAAGGTGCAAGATTGTTTGAAGCGGTTAAAGCAGTCGGGTTGGAATTTTGTCCTGACCTTGGAATCAGTATCCCAGTAGGTAAAGATTCAATGTCGATGAAGATGAAATGGAATCAGGATGGAAAGGATCAAGAGGTTACTGCCCCGTTATCATTGATAGTGACTGCCTTTAGTGAAGTTCAATCGATTGAGCGTACTTGGACACCCGAATTGAAAGATACTTCAACACCCTCGGTTCTCCTGTTAGTGGATCTATCTGACGGCAAGCGTCGATGTGGCGGATCTGCTATTGCACAAGTCTTCAACCAATTGGGAGATGAGTCACCCGACGTCGACGCCGCTCACTTGAAAAGTTTCATCAATGGCTGTATTCAATTACATCGACATCCGAAGAAGCCAATCCTCGCCTACCATGATCGATCGGATGGAGGATTGTTGACCACTTGTCTTGAGATGAGCTTTGCCAGTCGAAAGGGGATCACTCTTGAACTTGAAAGAGTAGAAGATCCTCAACAGGTCCTTGAACAGCTCTTCTGTGAGGAAGCAGGATGTGTCTTTCAATGCTTGGAGTCATCTGTTACAGATGTGGCAGGCGAGTTCCTCAAAGCTGGCCTTCCCTCATCCTGTTTGAAGGTCATCGGTCAAGTCTTGAAGTCAGCAATTGGAACCGATCAGATCATCTCTATCCGTCAACAACGAGATGGCAAACAGATTTGGTCATCAACACGTTCTAAGCTTCAATCGATTTGGTCAGAAACTTCATATCAGATGCAATCCATTCGAGATAATCCAGAATGTGCCAAAGAAGAATTCGATCAAATCTCTAATCTTGAAGATCGAGGGTTGTTTTACTCACTTCCATCATCATTTTCTTTTGATCTTTCTAAGAGCTCGTTGAATGATCGTCCAAAGGTTGCCATCTTGAGAGATCAAGGTGTCAATGGACATCTCGAGATGGCTTATGCATTCACTGCTGCTGGTTTCAATGCTATCGATCTTCATATGACTGACATCATTAGTGGAAGACTTGACTTGAGCGTCTTTCGTGGGTTAGTAGCTGTTGGTGGATTCAGCTATGGTGATGTGTTAGGATCAGGTAGCGGATGGTCAAAGTCGATCATCCTTCACAATGAAACCAAAAAAGAGTTCGCTAAATTCTTTAATCGACCTGAAACCTTTACTTTAGGAGTTTGTAATGGATGTCAAATGCTGACGAACCTAGTGGAAATCTTACCAAAGAATTCAGACTCAGAGAAACCAATCAATCAAGTTTGGCCCAAGATGAAACGAAATAAATCTGGAAGATTTGAAGCAAGAGTATCGATGGTGAATATACCTTTCAATGAACTTAATGATAAATCAGTATTCCTACGAAACTTGCAAGGCTCTAGTCTTCCCATTGCAGTTTCGCATGGAGAAGGAAAAGTAGATTTTAGCCATCTAGAAGCTACTCCAAACTTGCAACCAGCACTACAATACATCGATCGGATCAAATTACAACCAACCGAATCTTATCCATCGAATCCAAATGGTAGTCTCAATGGTATCACAGGTTTCCATGCAGCTGATGGTCGAATCTTAGCTCTTATGCCTCATCCTGAACGTGTGATCACTTTGGAATCTAATTCCTGGATTTCTGATGAGATTAAAGATCAAGTTGGTAGTATCGGTCCTTGGTTTAAAATGTTTCAAGATTGTAGATCTTGGTGTACTTGAGATCAATTAAGTTTGATCATCATTGTTTCTTTGTTAATGCATGTTTATGTGAGTAAGATGATTTAAATTCAAGTTGACTTCTCATTTTCGTGAACTGATTTGTTTACTTTTTCGGTTGTGTTCATTGAACTTTGAAAAATTCTTGATACTCAGAAAAGGAAGAAGAATGGGTTCTAGTGAAATCAAAATTAGATAGTGAATATGATGATGATGATGATTACGAGTTAATATATATAAAAAAATCAAAGTCTTTCTTTTTAGATGATGCTGAGTGAATCATGACTTTTCTCTTTGGAATAAGGTGTATATATGCATACCTAGTTGATGTTTGTACTTCGTTGGATTTTGATTAGATTATGAGTGATCATTAAAAGAGGCTGACAAAGTATACATGAAATTGAGTTGGTATTCTCTCAATTTCAGTAGTGATGAATCTGTTTTGACCAAAAGCAGAAAAACTGAGAGAATATCATTTTTTCGGGCTTGATGAGCTTCACCGGCTAAGCATTTCTGAGTCTCAATCCATCATAAGTTGATTTGCCGTCATTGAGAGTTGATCGACATACTCACACCTCAATTAGCCTCAAACTGGTTTTTGTGTTTGATAGCTGTCTCAGAGGTCTGCTTTGAAATTGAGGTTGAGGTTGGAATCATAACATTTGGCATGCAATCACTCAACTTCTGGAACGTGTCTTGCATTCCTCACTCCGCATAGGTTGGTATGTAGTCGCTTCACGTACCTACAAGGGACTCCAGTCAATGATCAACTTTTGGCCACGCCCTTCCGTATTTTCAAACCTTCACAACTTCTTTGACTTGTTTTGATCTCTTTGTCTTATGAGTTTGCGAAAATTAATGAGAATCAAATATCTCCTGATGGTATACATGAGCTGCCACTCCAGTCGAGAAGCTCTTCCTCCGAGGCCCACACTGACAACATAGAGTTTTGTCATCGCGGAGCTTGATCTCAAAATAAGTAAGTCTCATTTTTGTATGTTTCATCAATTTCCTGAGTGTCAAATTCATTACTCATATCACTTGCGACTAAAGGGACTCAAAGGGCAACTACAACAAACTACCTGTGGACTTTACATCCTACAAATCAGTTATCAGTCAACCCCGAACCATCTGGAAAGCTACAATCTGTGAGGAAGAAAGGGCAATAAGAATTACTCGCGGATCAAGTGTAAACATATCATCGCTCACTTCTTCATTATTTTATATGCCTTTTGCAATTGCTTCCGCGTCACTCAATGACCTGTATCAGTTAGCTCAATAGCCTAAAATAATTTGATCACCACCTACATTCCAAATCTATGCACCAAGATCAGCGTAGATAGCGTTCTCCAAAAAAGCCGCGCGTGGCTTTGTTGCGACACACCTCCCAGCACGCATCAAGCGAATGCATGACAGCCTCGGCAAGGGTGGAATCGCCAAAAAACCTGGTACTGGGAGTCGAACCCAGGTTACCAGGACATCAGACACGTCAAAACCTGGTGTCCTAACCACTAGACGATACCAGGACGTCAATTGAATGAAATGTGGTGATATCAAGCATCTGCCCCATAATAAATCCAATGTCAGTTTTGCCAACTTCGTACAAAGATACAAAGAAAAATTCTGCCGAAGCTTTTTCTAGACGTAAGCTTCCCACCCGTAGAGATATGTCCCACACAAGTGGCGTCACTCTCAGCAAATAGCATGATTGATCTGACCTCCACCCACCGTCTTTGGATGGCTGACAGAGATATTCAGCACGAGGCTTTCTGTAAGAGACTCATTGTTCATACCAATGCTGTTTAGATCTCTGAGCATGATTGATCAGTTGCTTCTTTGCATTCCTAAACAAAGTGACCCGCAGAGGGCCAGCTCAGCAAGCTGATGACAGGCCGCCGATCGCATGTGGTTGATTAATGTGGTGCGACCGTAAATAGTCCGATGCCCGAGACTGGTACCGTGTGCTTCATCGGTGACCATGGACATGATGAGACTGCGGTGAGATGATGCTTGTGCAGGAGTTTGACCTAAGTGAGGGACAACGCCCCGCAGTCTCCCCGCAGCAAGTACCGCGAGCTCTGGCATTGCTGTATACTAACTAAATCAACCTACCGCTCCACAATCAACTCAACCTCAAGACACCACGATTCTCGGACAACCTACCCCGCAGTAGCATCAAGTCAATCGAAATGGCCACCAAAGGTCAGCACATGCTTATTGATTCTCGCTCATGCGTAATTTTATTTCCTGACGCCGTATTTTGAACGATTCCTTTCAACTTTACCCATCATTTACACGATCAACTTTCCTTACCCCAATACATCGACATCTCGTGTTCAATCAATCCCCAATTTGATCTTTTACCACAGTCCGAGCACACGAGTTGGTCACCAAGTCAAAGGCCGACCTCACCAAACAGCTTGAGGAGTTGAAGACCGAATTGGTGGCTCTCCGTGTTCAAAAAGTTGTCGGAGGCTCATCTTCCAAGCTTACCCGCATGTCAGTCATCAAATCACCTCACCAACCAGGTGTATCTTTTAACTATTCAACTGATTCACAATTTACGATACGATCTACTTCTCTTCATTAGTAATGCTGTCCGTAAAGCCATCGCCCGTGTCTTGACAGTAATCCAGGCCAAGACCCGTGAAAACCTCCGAGAATTTTACAAGGGAAAGAAATACCAACCTCTTGACCTTCGACCCAAGAAGACCCGTGCTATCCGACGAAGGCTTACCAAGGTACCCTATTCTCTCATTTTCCCTGCCTATCCTTTGCACAAACCTAATTATTTCTCGATTGAATTTCACTTTTGTTAGCACGAGAAACACTTGAGGACGGAAAAGCAGAAGAAGAAAGACATCCATTTCCCCAAACGAAAATACGCCCTCAAGGCATAAACCTCTTGTCTAAATCTTAGTTCTTCCTAGCTCAGATCTTTGTGCATTTCTTATGATATGTATTCTCCTGGACCCACTCGTGAAAAAGCTTTTGCTTGGGAGCTCTGCGATTATGCCTTTCTAAACTATGCTTCGAACACAGATTCATCCACAAAAGCCATCAGTTAATCTTCTCCGCCCTCCTGAATTGTACCTTTGAAGTTCTACACGACTCACTCCAATGAATACGTTCAGGCGTGATCATAGCCGAAGTCTTCAATTCTTTCCCCCACAAAATTGTTCAGATATGGAATTTACTGCCTCAACAATGGCACGTGGGTTTCCATTCTGGTTAAAGCAAGTATAGCTCAGAACCTCGATAGCATCACCTAGTTAGATGTCTCAATGTTGAATTCTATACTCATCATCCTGATACCAGCCAACTGAAGTCACGTGTTACAGTGTTCTTGAGTAAAATGTGGCTAATGCAGCACCTAGCCTTTGGTATTGTCCTCGCGCCCTTTTCAGAATGAAGCCACACCAACTTGCCGCCTGATCAATTAACAGCATGCGTGCAAGTGACTGAAACAACGAGATCAGATTGAGGTGTCCAATGCTGCCACAATAAGCCCTCGGACTGATCACTCAAGTCCACTATGCGTGTTGACCACTTAAGTTTGCAATGAAATTCACAAGTCAGATTAGAGATATCATCTGTTACCATATGACTTCCAGTTGAAAATTGATGGATTCAGGCAAACATGTGTGGAATGAGGGGGGGAAAGTGACTTTCTCTGTTCCTCTAACCTACCTTCTTTTGAGTTCTCTTCATCTTGAACCTTGAATAGAATTCTGGAACTGGCTCAGAGATTCGATATTACAGGGGCTTATCCCGCTATATACTTCAATTCGTCGAAAAATTCTTTCATACAAATTTCTCGTTGAAAAGGAAAGTGATTATTCTTAGACGGAAACACCTAAGTTTCCAAGCATTATTACCATGACGAATAGAATATCACAAATCGCATTCAAAAATTTTTGAGCGACTTTTCAGCCTTTATCAAATTCGGAAAAGCCTGAAACCCATTAGAAGCCAAAACCTCAACCCCAATAGCAGCCCCCAATTTCAAATCAGTCCAAGTTCTATTTTTTAGCGGTATACCAAGTTGATTTAAGATCTCATCAGATTTTTCAGGCATGAAAGCTTGTAATAAAATCACTGAAAACCTAATCGATTCCGCACAAAGATAAATACATTCATGTGATTCGTCTGATCCGGTTGATGAATGCCATGGTGCAATTTCTGAGATTAATCGATTGGATTCGGTCAAGACTTGGAAAATGACTTTCAAAGCTTTGGGGATTTCGAATGAGCTCATTGATCGATCTACTTCATCTACGGTCACAGACAAATCAGCAAATTTGATCTATATTTTCGATCCAGAATTTGGTTTGAGAACTAACCAGGTAAATTTGATATGAGATCTGCCAAGGCTTTTGATCTTTCAAGTTTAAAAGATTGAGGTGGATAAAATAATCCAGTTCCAGATTTAAGTCCAATTGGAAACCTACTCCAAAGTTTAGGGTTTGAAATTCTTGATAGTAAATTACCAAGTTGACCAGCTAAATCTTTTCTATAATGTTCATCTACTCTATCTGGAGCCCAATCTTCAAGAAAAAAGAAGCATCAACATTAATCAACTTGATGTGATTTGGCTTTAGGGTAAGATGTGTTTTATACCAGTATCATTCCATAATGATCCAGGAGCAGCCATGAGATAATATCGTAAGCCATCAATACCCCATTCTTTCAGACTTTCAAACGGATCCACCACATTCCCTCTAGACTTCGAAATCTTTTCATCTTTCATTGTCCAATGTGCATGAGCAATTATACTCTTAGGTAACTCTAATCCAGCCCCCATCAACATAGCAGGCCAGTAAATCGCATGAAATCTACACCATATCTCAAATATTTCAATATAAAAAAATCCAGTAAGATAGAGGTATGGGGACATATACCTTGTGATATCCTTCCCAATAACCTGTACGTTAGGAGGCCATTTCTCTTTTTTGACTTGATCAGAGCTCCAAGGATAACCGGTGACTGTAAGGTAATTAGTTAAAGCGTCTATCCAAACATAGATGATTTGATTAGGATCATGAGGTACTTGGATACCCCATTTGAGTCTATCAGTTGGTCTTGAAATCGATAGATCAGGTAATTCTTTTGACTGAAGTTGATTGATTATATCCGCTTTCTGTGATGAAATCAATGCTATTCTTGTCTTTGTGAGTTATTTGTTTGGATTCAAATAGAATGAGGATTACTTGGAGACTTACCTGTGGGGTTTTGGCTTAACCATTCAATTAATCTTGGTTGAAATTCACTCAACTTGAACATATAATTTTCTTCTTCAATCCATTCAACAACTTGTCCAGTTTCAATTGATATCTATAAAATGAAATTGTCAACAAACAACGTATGCAATAAGATAATCAGATTTGTAATTACCATCTCTCCTGGATTTCTACTTTGTACTTGATTAGGAGCATAATAGGTTTCATCAGAAACTGAATACCATCCTGAGTATTTTCCTTTATAGATGTGACCATTTTCGAATAATCGATTCTGAAGTATAAAACTCAGTCAGATTCTACTCAGCGTAAGACTGAATAGTTAGTTTAATCAGGAAATATATCTAACCCAAAATGTTTGGACAGCTAAATGATGTCTACTTTCAGTAGTCCTAATAAAATCATCATACCCGATATTCCCCGCCTTAGCCAATTCCTGACCCCCACCCCCAAACAAACACGGAAATTAGATTCTCCAGACCAAGATATGGAATCCAAATAATCAATTTTAAATTTTAATTTCTTACACACTCGAAATCGAATAGAAACCGAATCACAAAGTTCAGTAGGAGTTTGTGAATTTTTCATCGCAGTTCTTTCAATTTTGATTCCATGTTCATCTGTACCTGTGATCATAAATGAAGGTTGGTTGGTTTTTAGCTTATTGTATCTTGAAAGTACATCTGCTATAACCATCGAATGTAAATGTCCAATATGTGGTGCTGAAAACTCAAATCGACAAGATATTTGTTAGTCTTCAATGTCTTGATATGTGATTTATTTTATAGGTTGAGTTGGCTTACATGCATTAACGTAAAAGATTGGTGTGGTGACATAGTATGATTTGCCTTTAAGTTGATGTTGGGATTGGGAATAGACCTGTTTGCATGTTGAGAATGAGTATTGGTGATAATTGATTTGTTTAGTTTGAATTTTTGTTCTGAGCATTGAAATGGATTTGAAGCATGATGAATGACAGTTCATCGGATCAACTCCCGTTGATAGGTTTCGAAGCTTTGGTCAAATTGAAATTTCCTCTTGATATCTTCTTGAGCACAGCCAAAACTTCAATATTTTGGGTAATGTTGTGATCGAAGTTGACTTTTATTTCTGGTCAAGGTCGCATACATACAATTTAATTTCTCACCCGGTACACCTTTTTTTTTTTTTTTTTTTTTTTTTTTTTTTTTAAAGTGCTTTTTCGCTAAATTGCATATTACGTTTGCTAGAAAGGTTGGCACCTTTCAGCCTTTTTTTTTTTTTCAGCTGCGCCTGTGACACTGCGCAGC